AGTTAGCTCCCGGTGTGAATGTCTGCCTATTTATTTTGTACTGCCTTCTACGTGTGCCACAAAGACATTTGTTGAGGATGTGCTACCAGTCAAGCCAAGATCGCATACTTGGTCAATGTGATGGAAATACAAACGTTAGAAACACTGCCACCTCTAGTAAGAGCATAACACTTCAGTATCTTGGACTAGCAAAGAGGTGCACAAGAAAGTTAAGCCCACTCTTGCGGAACTTTGAACGCGAATATTTCAGAGTGGGGGAGGTCAACATGCTGTGGCACTTTTAAACCCACGAAACATCTGCAGAAAACAGGGTAAAGGCAAGTCAAGAAACGCTGTTATGAAGGCCTGCGCATGGACAGCTTTGTGAATCTAGGCCCAAGTGTTATGCTTTGTGCAAGCCAAAATCCATGTAAATAGGGAAAGCATACTTTTAGGAGTACCAGCGTAAACAAATCTTGGCAGTTGGCTTTTTAGTACAAACAGCAATCCCTGCAATAAAAACATAAACATTTTATCTTAACGGTAACAGTGTGAGCACACACACGGGCCAGCGGAGCCATGTCGAATTGTCAGTGTAACCATGTGGCATAATGAACTATTCTCTGGCCAACACATGCACAGTTTGCCCCTAAAAAGCGATGCTTTCATATACGTAGTACAAAAAGTCTGCACTTACCAAAATTCACTTGCTTTCTGTACTTTAGCATCGTTGGGAGCATCTTTATCTGCAGTATAACCAAATTTGTGTCATATCCCTGAAAAAAAAAAGTGAAAGACATGCATCAAATATTGTTTCATTTGGTAGCAGTGAAGTCAGGTTAAGAACAGCCAAGTGGGAATCGGCCTAATTATGTGCATGCGGCAAATCTCAAACGGCGTTATTGAGGTTGTCGAAATTTTCGTCGATTGGTATTAACGTCGATATGTGACTTCAACGGCATGCCAAGTTTTCACAGCGCACAAAGATTTCATGATGCAGAATAATGACAGCACTAACGAGAACATACAGCATTTATGATTGTCTTTTACAATATTCAGTTTTGCTAAGGTTTTGCATCACTAAAGAAATCTGAAAGATTTGGGTCATTCCTCCTCCAATTGTTCTGTCAATATGTAAACTGCTCGCTTGATGGTGCGCTTATAAAATAGTACGTTCAGCGCAGAGGTGAAGCAAGTGACGCAGTGATGTGGGCAGATTTTTTTTTTAGTCGTGCGGGGAGGGGGGAGGGGGGGTGTCCGCTTATCTGAATAGGCCGGGCAAGCGAATATGGTCGTCAATTTGGGCTCCCTACGCCCGGCCTAAAAAAATTCTGTGCAACCGCCTGGCCATGCCAGTGAAGTGATGCGACAATGATTTGTTCACTTACTGATTTACATACACTTTACATCTCTAAAAAATGCGGCCCAAGGCCCCAACACTCAGCCGTTAACATTACATAAAGCCAATGGTAGAAAAGTGCCAGTATTAATGCAGCTACAACCCCGCCCCAATGTTTTTTCAAGCGATGTAGTGTTGCGGAAATGAACTTTTAACTGCAAAAGTACACTGGCACTGCAGTGGTGACAGGGGAAGCAAGAGGGTATGCAGGCGGTAATAGAGGTAATTTAGTCCGATACGACTAGCAATGGATACGGCGAATAAGAGCAAATCATTTCTCTTTCAATAGCGCAACCACTCAACAATGTATTGTAAGAGCATTAAATGTTGCTCGAAATGCCACTCACCTGCACGCTGATGCATGCACAGTCCTTTGTCCGACGAGCGAACAGGCTTGCAGATAGCTGAAGACGTGTTTACGATGTGTTTGTTCCACCCAGCAGCAAAATCCACAACTACTTCGCGCTCCATAAAGATAAATATACACTAACCTTCATCACGAATAAGTAGAAACGCAAATCTGCGACACACACACACGATCAAAACATAGCTTACAAGCTCGCACGTCCATGTGCTCGCCAACGACAGACCATATGAAAATGAGTAAGTAGTGCGAACGCGAACCTAGTTGCGCCGAAAAAAAAAAAAAAAACGTCGAGTAGTGGCAGCACAGGCGTCAGCGCAATAATTTCAGTGTGTTCTCCTAATACAATTATAAAAAAACTGAGGTTCACTAAAACTCATAAATAAATATAAAAAGTTGAGTGTAATTTTTATTTAGTGCTAGTCAACATAAACACTGAATAAAAATAATTTTGTAACTTACATCGTTTGCTACACTAGCGCCACACTTGTCGTGCGGGCGCAGATGGCGCAGATTTGTCATTCTGCCCTCAAACTACACGGTGAAGCGTGCTACTAAGTGCATGGCTGATGAGAAGCGCGTCTGGGTCCGCTTTTTTTTTTCTCCGATATATCTGGGCGGGGGGGGGGGGGGGGGGGGGTCTCCTTATGCACGTGTTTCGGTGCATGATCGACTTTGACGCCCTTACTTCGCGGACGAACGGCGTGTCTAGGCTTTTTTTATCGTTGTTTTGCACGTGTTTCGGCGTTCGGTCCGCTTTGACGTGCCAACTCTCCATTCTGCTGCTGCGTGTGTTAGGTAATGCCATACTGTATTCTCAGGCCTTTTGTGTTCAGCCAGCGCTGCTATCTTATTATCTACGGATGCTAAAATAAATCACTGTTTTGGTTTGGTGAAGTTTGGCACACAGAACAAACAATAATCTGGCCCATGAATATCAATGTGGGCGGCATGCATATTTGTGTGCGGTGTCCTGCCGGGGAGTAACCGTTGCGTGACGAGAGCATTTACAGCGGTTCCTCCTTCCGTTGCTCCCTTACAAACTTAAGATGAATACAGTTGCTCCCCCATTCTCGAACAAGTCGGCCATCTTGTTCCGCTTGGTCTTTTCGGAGAGTAACAGTCGGTCTGAAGGAGTAAAAACAGCCGTTGCTCCCATTTTGGCCATTTTTGGCTTAGAGTGTTGCTGAATTCCGTAGAACTTATGTGCCCTATGAACTTATGTTACGTAATAAGTATATGTTCCCTTGCGTTCCTCTCTGTGTGTGGACGTGTGTGTGTATTATACAGACGCAAAATTTCATAATTTAGAGACGGTCAAGAGGTCCCCCCACATCCCGTCATCACCTTCTCACCTTCCCAAACGCTTCTTCTTCAATGGCCACGTCGATACTTCCGTTGCCGTGTTGCCCAATGATGCGTGGAGCTCACGCGGCTTTGGCTGCGTTTGGATAGCTCTCCGGTAGTTTGGTATCTCGAGGGCGATTACTGTTTGGCAGTTTGTTCTGCGATCGCTGGCAACACCGGACCACTCGAACGACTTTTTTTTTCTGTAATGATTCTAAGAAACGACAGACGCACATTGGCGCGCCAGGAGAAACACTTATTCCGTAACAAAATAAAAATGCAAGGCTTTAACTCAGCAAAGCTATTCATAGGTCAGTGAAAGCTCTCCACTGCTCTCTTTTTACCAGTAATGATATTCCTAGCATCAATACTGCCTCTCTCTTACGAACAAGTGTGGCTTGATTGCGGTGTGTTGCGTAAAATGCGAGTACAGAAACCTCTAATTTCGTATATTCTAGTTCTTGTAGTAACTTCAATGAAGAATCGCACGCGTTGCGCCAATTCCAGACACAGTGATACACGTTATTCCTGTGAAATTCAATTAAAGCTGTCGCTATGATGGATGAGTCTACTGTTCCGCCAGAGTCCCAAACGGTCGGTGCATTCAATGGCCCTTCGATGCGGTTGAATGCTTTGATCTCGCGTAGAATGTTTAGTTATAAAAGTAAACTCAACGAATATGGCATGTGCATGTGTGGTTCGAGTTTATACGCAAGGAGAAAGACGGAAAGCAAGCACCCGCACACCGTGCCCTGTCCAGTAAATCGAGAGGTGTGTGCACACAAGGTTCCATACAGATCTCGCTCGCGATGTTCGGTGGGCGCGCGCCGAAAGGGAGCCGCCACCGTAATTAGAACTTCGCCACAATGCCCGATGACCGGTCAGCTATGGCCGGGGTCGCTCGCAGACATGCGGGCAGGCCAAGCCCATTGCTGTCGTTGTCGTGGCCGAATGACCACGGGTGAACCCCCCATAAGCTCCACGCGGAAGGTCTATAGTCGGAAGGTGGCTGTCGATAGTGCTGAAAGAAGTTGTGTACCGACTCGAGTTTGTTACAAGGAAGACAGGCAGTGTTCTTCTCGCTCTGTGCCATAGTAGTGTAGAGGAGGAGATTATTTAACAAGGAAAACTATGGCACGATTGCCTCATTCTATGGTGGACACTTTCCCTGTACGACTCTGAAAGAACGAGATGAGACACCAGAGAGGAACAGAGTGCCACGTATATTGTATACCGCACACACAGGTCCGGCCCGCTGGTACACTCTTAATCAGCTTCTGCTTAAAATGCGAGATGTAACCAGGACATCGGCATTTTTTTCTTTGGTCTTCTGTATATATCTTGCATTTCACCCGGACGTGATTAACATCGGAGTGTAGGCGAAGAGTACAAGAGGCGGACAAAGGCGCGGGAAGCGAGTCTATATACTGCACTTTTACTTTCTTTATATCTCTTCTGTCATGCATGTGAATGAAAAATGTGTGCGAAAGCATAATGAATGCGTTATTTGTATTCCTTGGCAATGCCACTTGTATGGTGCAATCATGATGAACAAGAACAAAGCTGTGAACATTTGCGTTATTTCAAATGAGGGCCAGGTTGATCATTATTATATCGGGATCAAGAAAAAATAAAAGAGTTGCAAGAAGAATCTTGTCTAGACAGCATTAAGTAATCAGTTCACGACAAATACACGTGCACTTGTGCTCTACTTTGGTGTTGTGGTTGTTGTGTGCACCATGCGCAAAGTAGCGCCATGCTAGTTTTTATAAGGTCTTTCCTTTTGTACAACACCACACTTCTATTGCATTGTATTCGACTTAATGTGCGCCTTCGCCTCTGTAGCAGCACTTCTATAGCAAGCATATATCTCTGTTCTTAGAAGTCTGTGTTGTCTTTTCTCTCGTACAGGCGCTTCGGCACCAAGTGCGCGGGCTGTTCACTGGGCATCTCGCCGACGGACCTGGTTCGACGCGCGCGGAGCAAGGTGTTCCACCTGAAGTGCTTCACCTGCCTGGTGTGTCGCAAGCAGCTCTCGACGGGCGAGGAGCTGTACGTGCTGGACGAGCACCGCTTTGTGTGCAAGGAGGACTACCTCGCCAGGCACCAGCCGCCTCCGCCTCAACAGCCGCCGCCCGCCGGTGAGTGCACGAGCAGGGAGACTCAACGACATGTGAACTTGAGCACTATACCGTTTGCACGCATCTCCCTACGGTACGCTTTATGCTCGCGTTGCGTCCAGGGGAAGAGTGAACCTGAATGGGCCTAACGGTGTATACGTCGGCGTGTGTTATTTATATCAGTATTTGCAGATTAGGCTTAAGATAACTAGAAAGCAATGCACTGTCAAATGAGTGGTCGGACAACCACGGGTATGAAAATAGATTTCAGGGGTACAATTCGCAGCGTGCCAAAGTTTGTCATGCAGTGCAGCCTTTGAAATAACAAGTTTGAGCTCTTGTTTTCGTAATTCTGACTCACAGAAATACTTCCAAGCGGAGAAGAAAAAACAAAAAAAAAGGGATGCCTAGCCACTCTTCATGCCGGTTTATCGTTAGCGGAGGCATGCAGCTGGCAAAAACAGCGATCACGCACATAGGAAGATATCTGTAAATAAGATAGCCTCGAATGCCGGGGTGCATGCTGATGTCTACAGGGGCGCGAGTACCACTGCGTAAGCTGTATAGTTATCGGAAACATCTTTATAGCCCCTTTCGTATTGTCTTGCGAGCCAAAATAAACGAAAGCGATACGATACGGGCAACTCCTGATACCGTTTATGACATTGCGTTGTGCGCTTCGAAAAATGACCTTCATGCATATATATATATATATATATATATATATATATATATATATATATATATATATATATATATATGTGTGTGTGTGTGTGTGTGTGTGTGTGTGTGTGTGTGTGTGTGTGTGTCTGTGTGTGTGTGTCAAAAATGGTGAAAAGGATGCACATCTGAATAGCGAAAGGTTTACGAGGCTTGGGCGCCACTGCGAATGATGCGAATTTCTGTAGTTTCGTAATAAATTACGCTTTTAATCTATTGCGGGTATTTGCTTAGGTGCCAATAACTACTTCATACTGAAGGACGAGGAAAATTTATTAGAACACAGAGAGGTAGGCCTGAGCTTGTGTGTTCTGGACGGCCACTGTGCACTGAGAAAAAAAAAAGAAAGAATGGAAGTGAATAATGAAGGCGATGATGGATAGGAAGAGGTGATGCGTATAGATAACCACACATAACGCAATGGTTTTCTTGATGTATACTATCCAGTCTAGTACTCTTCAGAAAGTTTATGAATGTCCTTGTATCAGTGGCTGATGCTGTCTGGAACAGCAGCAGCAGCAGGCTAGAACATTTCATTGGAGGATATGTTTTCAGAGAAAGCAGAAATATATGTTCTAGCATTTCGCATGCCGCAAGCACTTGGTGGTACTTGTATACGCGCTCAGAAAACACGGCGTGCAAACGCACCTCTCGTGAAGGAAGAAAAGGTGACCATGAGCACCGCAGGAAACAAGCACAACACGGACACGTGTGCACGGACAGTTGTAAGACGCGCGCGGCGCACACAGTTCAACTCCCCAAGGGCGGACGTGCATAGCGGTGCTTCGAGTGGGGGCCTTCCTCTCTTTCCTCTCCGCGGAGCAACCTCGGCCCCGTTCGTTGCCGGTTGCGCAACCGCGCCATTGCACAGCAGGGCGAGCCGCCGGTCGGTCTTCACCGTCAAGACGACGACGACGACGTCCGGCAGCGTCGGATTCAGGAGCGGCGCGACGCCAGCCGAGTGAAGAAGGCGCCCATCGCGCGAACGCCCTCTCCTCTGACAGACGCGAACGCAGCGGACGCAGTGTGGGAAACAAAAAAGAAAAGGCGCGAAGCTGGTGCGCGCTTTCGATGGCCCCGGCATGAACGTAGCCTACAGGGGAAATCACGGCAGTCAAAAAAAAAAAAAAGTTAAATACGAAAGACGCGCTCCAGTGGCGTTTCCGAGCGTGCGTGCGTGCTCGCGTATGTTTGTGAGCGCGCGCGCGCTAACGCCGACGGACAGGCAGTGAGGCGACAGCGGCCGTAGCTAAACGGCGCCAAGACAAAGGCGGCCGGCGTCGGCAATGATGACGGACGAGCTGTCTGCCCAACAAAAGGAGTCCCGCTCGCCTCGCAAACGACGGCTGCGCGACGCCACCACCGCGGCGCAGCAGCAGCCTGCCTCCGCTGAGGACTACACCCTCCCCTTCTTTTCTCGCCGTGAGAGCTCAACAAAGGGAACGTGTGGCGGCTGGCGCAAACACGCAGGTAGCCAGCGTGCTGCAGTGAGCGGAGTCAACAGGCGGCCGCCACTCTCCTCGAGCGTCCAGTGACGCGTGTCGGCGCGACTTCGCGTTTCTCCTCAGCCAGGGCCGCCGTGGCTCGCGACGCCGGCGCAGTTCCTTCTCATTCTTCGCGTCTGGCAGCCGAGACTCGAACTGATGGGCTTCGCGTCCGCGCCAAGGTCGGCCCTCACTCGCGACATCGTCAATGTGGCCCGCGAACACTCGAGGAATGGTTGTCGGCGCGCGGTACTGCGGACGGTTCGGCGGACCACGACCTGCTGTACTTCCAGTAGGTCGTGCGGCGGACAATCAAAGCGGCGAGGTGTGCAGGCGTGTCCGGGTTGTATATGGCCCCCTTCAGGATCCGGCCTTTCGATCGTCGTATAGCAGAGACTGCGTTACGAAAAAGGGGCCTGCTTGCGCGGATTCGGCGCGCGACCTCTGAATGGGGCACGCGGTACCATAAGCGACAGTTCGCGTTGATAAGTGTTGCCACACCGCAGTTCTTTTGATGCAACGTGCAAAGTCGGCTTAAGACATCAAATGTGCGCCCAGTGACCTCAAAGGTATGGGTATGCTTCAGTCATGAGAATTACCGTGGTGTAAGCCCAAAAAAGCGTGCGACTCATTTGAACCATGTAAATCAGATCAAGCAGGATATTTGAATATGGTGATCGAAATGTCTCCAATTTTCCCCTTGCCTCACCGCATATTTGCCGACTAGGTCACCGCGAACATATTGGCGTGTAATATTACTCGAGTCATGATCTTTTACGAGTGAAGTGGCTGAGATTTGCCACCCTCAAAGGTTTTCCACATGAACACACTCTTGCCACGGCCGCGAAATATTCACCAATCACGGAAACCTTACTTCATCTCTCGTACGTCGTTGCATATTTTGCCTCGCGTTCAGTCTAAATATCCGCCATGTGTTCGCCCATAACTGCGAGATTTTCTCGTTGAGTCGTTCACTTGCCTTCCCGTGGCCGTCGGAGCCTGTCTTCTGGCATAAAAGACCTAACACTGGCGCCACGTCTGAACGAACATAAAGAGGCGAGTCGCCGCCTTCACTGGCCTTCAAAGAGCGCGGAGAGAAGTGATTGGTCACGGATTCTTCGCGTCTCGGCCGAATCGAACTCTTGGCGCGTCCGGCTGTCCGTGGGATGCGGTCCTCATCGCGTGAATTCTTTCGTTGCCTGCGTGCCGCTGGGAATCGAGGCTGAGTTAGAAGAATACCTAGAAGCGGGGCGGCCGAGGCAGTGTAAATGTAGCAGCTACATGGAAGGAGTTTGGGAGGGATGCAGCATGCACGGTTCCTGGAGTTGGCGTTATCCGGAGTTGGCGTTATACAGCATGTTAACCTAGGCGAAACAGGAGAGGGACAAATAATTATAGAAGGCGATGTTTCAAGCTGATGGCGGTGATTACTAAATTATGATGATAATAGCGGAATAAATGGGAGTATACCGGTGTGAGGATTTCAGACCAGCTTCCGATAACAGATTCTGCTTTAAAAGCCCAATAATGGTGTGAACGCGGAACAATGCATGCGACGTTGTGTCACTGCTGCCGCGCCCCCGTGCGAAAAGAAATGGCTCGAAAGGGAAACTAATCATGTAACCACAGGAAGAATGCAGAGGTGAAGCAAGTATATATGCTATTGTGTACGCATAGAACAACTTGTTATTTCTTAGCTTCGTTCGGGCCGAGTTGGTGTCCTCATCCTTTAGTGGGTCGTGTTACTCGCGTACATGTCGCATGCTGGAGCCGAAAGCTAGGGCTCTGATTGTATTCGGTGAATCTGCAGGAGTCAGCTGGATTACTGGCTGTCCGCGCTCTACAGAACATATTTAAGTGCGTTCGGGCCAGGCTAGCATTGTCGAAGTCCGGTTATCCTCATCAAGAGAAAGAAGAAATGTGGGAGGAACAGATGCTTGTTCAAGTTGTGAATGAAGAGATGAAATTAACAATAATATCCTTGAAAGACCAAAGACCAGAAATTAAATTACCATTACTGCATCGAAGGTTGTCAATGTCGCTTCAGTCGCGTCATGTGTATTGAAGGGATACAACCGAGTGAGCGAAAACGAACTGTACCGAAAACTCTCAGCGGGCGCAGTGCGGATGCTCGACAGAATTAAGCGCCTGCAAGGCTGGCTTTCACGCACACTCCATAGACCAGGCGCGTGCTCTCACGACAAGCCGTATTCATCGCAGTGGTCGGTCGCAGTTCAGCATAGTTCGGCATACCGGTATTTTCAATGCAATTGCCAGTGGCTATCCTTCTGGTCTCTCCACACGGGTCTCTCGGTTCTGTCGCTGGAAGCCGCTGTGCCCTCGAAAGTGATTGCAAAACTGCTGCAGTGTCACGCCACAGCACTACGACTGGACACCTCATGAGTACGGAGATAGAGAGAGTGAAACTGTCGAAAAGCGGAGAGAGCACGCGAGCCACGCGCGGAAGCCATCAGTCGACGTCGAAAAGCGCCGGACACGCAGCGCATATGCACGCAGGCGTACGTTGCAAAGCGGGGGCGCGCACGCGAATCTGGCGCCACCGAAAGAGTGAGCCTGCTCAAATATTCACGAGCCGGCTGCTGCTTGGGGCGTCGAAGCGGCTCAGCTGAGCCATTTGTTCCCGCTTTGTTTGCGCCGAACGCGGCGTCCTCGCTGGACGGCAGCAGCGCGGGCCTGTCGATCCTGGCCGCTTTTGCACGCCACCGTGTATCTACGGGCGATGATGCATACGTAGACGAGTGCCAACGCTTGCGCTTCTCGCGTGACGCCACGACAACGCTTCGGCCAGAGCCAAGT